CCCTTAAATAGGTGGTCAATAAATATGGGTGCCCTGAAAGAGCAAGAAAAAACCCCCAATATATTCCCCTAGGCAAACACACTGTGCTTCTGCCAGGGCAAGAAGAGCCAGTCACGAATGTCCCTATCTTGATTTAAGGCTGCCTTCCCCCCCACAGGAAGCCTCTGTCACTTGCTCATTCCAAAACAGGAACACAACAGAGCCACCTGCAGTATGTGAACTTTTTATTCTCCATAAAGTGCTCAAAACATGAAGAACAAGCTCTTTATAAACAAGAGTTACAACTGGAAAGACAAATAGCAAAGCAGATCTGTGGCTGCTCTGCACCCACCTCACCTATAGCTTTCCTCTGACTTGAGGCCAGGAGCAGACACACTAAAACAAGAAACTTTGAGCTTCAATTCCAAATCTTTTCTGAAGACATCCTTGCCCTGGAGGCCCACAGTCTAAAACACCTGGAAAATCCATCAGGGCTGGGGCTGCGTAGAGTTTAGGGGATACAAGCAAGAGAGTGACCCCACCCCCCAAGAGGAGACACTTTTCCAACCCCCAATGGTTTCACAAAAAAAATGTGATAACAGTCCTGGACACTTATAATTACTTTCTCATCTATGATGAATGGTCCTCTAAGGAGCTTTTCTGCCTTGTGTGGAGTTCTCCTGCTCCACTCTGTCCATTCTCCAAAGAGAAGAGAGGCATCACCCACAGAGCACACCTCCCATAGGCCCTTTCCATAGAAAACGTGATTCCAGAGTAGTTCTTGCTTCTTCACTAGGTTGGAGCATCCTCCTTCATCATCTTCTTATGCCCTACCATAGTCCCAAGCCTGCAGATGCCCTAGGGAAGCCTGTCATGCTTTCTGCAAGCAAACCAGGAGTTAGGCCAAAGGACTGATGCTTCATTTCAAAGGGCACTGCAGCCAAGCCAGGCAAGGCAAAGGGACAGGAGGAATGGATAGGAGAGCAACAAAGATTTTCCTAAGTGTAGGTGTGTCCCCAAGGCAGAGTGGGACCTCCCACTTCTAGAATTTAGCTTTTATCCCAGAACTCTCCAACTGGGGTTGAAAAGAAGGGGGAGAAGGCAGGGAGGTTGAGGAAACCACAGCAGCTTGGCCAGAACCTTAAATGGAATTAACTCTAGGAGAAGTAAGAGAGCATACAGTGCTGCCTCTGTCCTCTGCTTTCACTCTCGAGCCAGAATCCAGAAGACTTATACCAGCATTCCAATGGGGTGCACCACAGGGAGGGGAAGGAATGCCAAGTAGGACAGGGGCTCTTAACCCCTTCCACAAAAGGCACATTTAAATTGCTTTCCAAAGGTTCAAACCCTGCAGCAAAGCACAGAGTTTTGTCATCTTCGATGGGCAGCAAGAACATAGATGGGAGGCTTGAACCTAAAAATATAAGCAGTCCAAAGCCCTGGAAGGGGTCCACCATTTTGGAATGGGTGAGAAGTCAGTGAGAAAGGGCTCTTTCTCCACCTACCTCCACGTGACACTCTATGGAAAGTCAGAAGAGGAGGGCAGGGACAATCCTACTGAGCAAAATGCACAGCATTGGTGCTGTTCTCACTCCTCAAACTAGAAGCAGACTCAGGACGTGGCACAGACTAGATTTGACCACAAAGGCTCCTTGACCACACCAGAATTGATGTGAGGTTGGAGGTTGAAGAGTAAGTGGTCTAGTTATGCAGAAGTCACGGACAAATGGGTAGCTTGGTCTCTGGCCCATCCAGTAATACTGGGAGCCCCTCCACGGGCTGGAGGGAGATGAAGAGGCTGAGGGCTTGGCAGTGGGAAGAAATGGCTGAGCATCCTTGGGAGGCATAAAATGTGTGTCAGCAACCAGTCTTGCCCCAGGAAACCATGTCAAACTGCAGCTCACCACTGCTCCATCTTGAGGGTTCAATTTCTTGTCTCAGCTCCCTGGGGCCCCCAAAGCTAATAAGGAATCTGAAAACAGGCAGGTAGGAAGGAGGTCTAGAGATACATGAGTTGTACATGGTACTTGGTGCCTTACAATAGGAGTCCAAAGAGCACCTCTTCCAGCAGTTCCAGTGGAGGAAGGAGGGAAAGGGGAGCAGGGAGGGTCCAGGACACTGCACCCTGAGCGAGCTCAGCATGGGGCGGGGGCGCGGCTGAGCCCTGTTTGGGGTAGGGGAGGAAAGGTTACTTGGGGGGAACAGTGGGGATCTGCAGCAGTGTGGGTGAGGTCTCCATGATGCGCACCAGCAGCCGGTCTATGTAGCTTTCCAGCTCCTGCACGTGCTCATCCCGCTGACTCAGCTCCCGCTCCCGCTGCAAGAGCAGGCCAATCAGCTCGTCATGTGTCAGGTGGTAGTACTTGGCAGACTGGTCCAGCACACCTGAGTCCTGAGGCCAGACAGAGAGTAAGAAGGGCACTCCTGGGCAGTCCCAGTCACCACCCCTCCTGTCCCACCGCCCCTAGAACCGCCTCTGTCTCCATTGTCATGGGTGGCCAATTGGCTTCAGACTTGTGGAGTGTCCTGAAGCCTTCCCAGTACCCCAACCAGGGCTCTCCAACCCAGTGAAGAAGCGAGAACTCCTCTGGAATCATGGGTTCTGCTCTGATGACTCCCAGAGCCCTGCTGGGCCTCACCTTCAGCCTCTTGGTTTCCACAGCATGGCCAACCTGGGGGGCAGGAACCACAGGCTGAACACTGCCAGATGTGACTGTTTTAAGCTTCTCCAGACCACTGCTCAGGGCTGTGCTCAGACTGGAGCGGGGAGGCTTCCTGTCAGGGCTGCCCTCCACAGGGGTAGCACTGAGGGGCTTCACAGGGTGGGGACTGTGGAGACAGACAAGAAATGGGTCATGGAGAGGGATGGGCTTCGTAAAGAAAAGGTAAGGCCACCTTCTCAGTGGAGCCTCCAGGTCTGCTAGCCACTCCA